GACAACAAGCCTGAAATCAGTTTTCTGAGGGTGTCACTTTTTCAAAGTTGCACTAGTTGGCATTGAATGACCCACGTTGCAAATGAAAAACTTCAGCCTCTCTAGTTTTCAGTTTTTGAAATCCACAGCTGTAGTATAGGAAGGTGTGCTATTAGCTTTAGGCTCTGCTCCATCAAGTTGTTGTGAGTGTATGTGCCGGCAAGTAGGGATTGCTTTGCAATGCTGCCGCAATTTTGCAGGATCCAGAGGATTGGTTATACAAAAGTGAGGGCACCCCTCAATATTTGAACAGACGAACATCAAAAATCTTTAGAAATGTTCAAAAGCAAATTAAAAAGAACTGCCGTTTAATGTAGCCAAAACTTTTGAAAGTCTTTTCTATAATTTGTAATTCATATTTAAATTCATTGATGCAAGAAACAAGAAAATCATTTGAAGAGTAAAGCCATTCAGTAACTAAAAGCAGTTTGGTAATGGAACAAAAACACAATACCTCACGGCAGTCTCCAGCCCAAATCATTTTTGAGATATTATTTTCCAATTCTTCGTCCATTCGCTCAAAATTTCTTTCAATACAATCGGTACAAGAATATTTCCTACGTAAAACTTCTGCTTTAAAAATAAACTCACTGTAGGCATTTTATGCCAAGAAAGAAAATGGGTTCCAGGTTAAGTTCACTAATTTGTCTGTTGATTTATTATTCATTTTATTCACCATATTTCATTTAACTTTTATGTATATTTATTTTTATGAAACTATATTTGTGTTAAAAATCTTAAAATTCATTTTTCTCCGCAGAATCGTCTGATCCATGTAGTGACAGCAAAGCAAGATGTGTAGCCAACAGTACATGTGTTGTAGAGGAGGACACTTTCAAGTGCGTTTGTAATCCAGGGTAAGTCTGATTCCAATCTAGCTTGAAATTATTACCACTTGTTGGTGAAGAAACTAGAAAAACACTCATTTTGGTCTGTAACATTGCAAACTAATGATCCTGTTTGTTATCATTGTTAGACCTGTTTCGAAAGTGTGCATTTCATTTCAAACGCTTTCAGAACCAAAAAACAACTTATAGTATACATTTTCACTCGTGACATTTAAAATCAAGTTCATAAATAATGGAGAGAAGTATTCGACTTTTGAATGTGGAATGGACTCAATAAGATCGTCACATAGTGACTTTTATTATTTGCTTTCCTGATTCGTTTTTTTATTTTAACAGGTTTGAGACTGTCTATGTTGACAGTGAATCCAAAAATTTTGGCTGTTATGACATCAATGAATGTGCCAAAGGCACTGATACTTGTCATGTTGATGCAATCTGTATCAATGAAATTGGAAGCTTCAGCTGCCAGTGTAAGCCTGGTTTTGAAGGAGATGGACATTATTGTGAAGGTAAGCCACAAGGCTCTTAGCCGAGTATTAATCAAAACTTGTCCAAACAATATTGGAAATAATGTCTCACAAGTATTAATATTTTTTTTAAAAAAAAAAAAAATAAATATTACTTAAAGATCACCATGTAGCATTAGAACGAAAATATGACATCATGCTCTTGAAGGTTGTGTGAATTCTCCAAAGGACGGCCGGCTCTGATTCGGTTCAATTTTAAAATGTCCGTTCAGAAATTCTCAAACTTTTTTTGCGAGTACTTTTCCGAAAGGAAAGAGGAATCACAAACATTTTCAAACAATGATGTTGAATTGTTTTTTTTTTTTTTTTTTTTTTTGGAAGAATCAANTTTTTTTTTGGAAGAATCAAGCAGGATAAAAAGTCAGCAACGATTCTTGCGAAGGTATTGATGGTGAGACTACAAAAACATGCATCTCAGTTTGCAAAGTTGCAAACTTCCTGTCACATTTTTTTCTCTAAGTTGTAAACTACTCCATGAAAACTTCAGTGATTTTTCTCCTCTGTGTGAAAGATATTCAGTGAAAATTTCAGGCGATGATGTTTGTTTGGTGTCCTGTAAAAAATCAAATAAGAGTGAGATTTTGAAACTTTTGGAAACCAGGCACCAATTTTTACAGTTTCACCACCGACATGGGGGTTGAGAATGTCCTTGTCAGTATTAGATCTGTTGATAAACTTTTATGAGAGCGTATCCACAATGAAAAGGTGCGCAAGATAATAGGTGTGGAGAACAACATAGTGCACGATATCAGGTCCAAGTAGTTGGTCTGGCATGGTCATGTGAAAAGGAT